CGGAACGACGGAACGGATTTCTTACTAGAAATGAGTTCACTAGCATTCCGTTCCGTAAGAAGTTTCTCTACTGTCTTGGAACCACTGGAATCATGGCCGAAACGAATGGAGTCAATGGAATATCATGTCCTTTGCAGATTATATCAATCTAGTTAATGATTAAGAATTTGACAATTTTAAAGAAGAGAATTAATAATAATTCTTATTTTTCAGTATGACATATTCTGTTTTATATAAAGGAATTCTGTTTTATATAAAGGAAAGTCCCCTATTATGAGATAGGCGCTTAATATGAGATAGTGGCGTTTCTGCTAAACTAATAAAGGCTATCTATTGGTTCGACCATAAATTTATTGCTCTTAGATTGAAAACTATATAGTAGAAAGTTCATTATTAGATCATGCCTGTAGTCATTGTAAAAAAGATTTTAGAATTTGAATGTCTTCAAGTTTCATTGAGATGAGGCTTTAAACTTTGTTTATTATTTAATAAATAAATATTTGGTAATAAATTCTTCATATAGTGATAGAGTAAGGTCGTACTAATAGAAAAATACGGAATATGTTAAATTGCTTAATTGCAGAAGTTAGATTTGAGGATTGTAAAATCATATGGCGTGGAAATCGTAATATGAGATACCCAGGGTATTTCTAATATGAAATAACCCATGCTTCTATAGAAAATTGTTGTTAAAGTATAAATGTTATTATACAATAATAAAAAGAACAATCGGAATGAATGTCGTGTGCCATTTCTGCGATGCTTGATTCGAACTACCTGAAGATAAATTTTGGGTATAATCTAAGCACGCTCATTTTTTGCGCAGGCTGGCTGTTTGTTTGTTTTTTAGAAACATTAAATGAAGTTTTTTAATTGCAATATTGATATACTTTGCGTTTTACTATAATTTTTCGCGGCATCTCATTAAGAGCACTTTTTGACTTTGCGATTTGCTCACTTTTTACATTTCTTTAATTTAAAAAAAAAAGAAATTTAAATTAAATTTTATATAACATTATCTTACAGTTTATTAAATTTCCTTCCAAATAACCGATTATTTTGTTTAATTTTGCCCATAGACTTTTAGCATTTACCCAAAATGAACTCGGTATCTCATAATAGGGACCTTTCCTCTATACATAGTCCAACTATATATAGCCAACTATAATGTCAGCAATTTTTTAAATAATTTTGATATTCTGAATTAATTGAAGTACTTCTCACGATCGATTGTTTGTATTTCAAGGACTAAATTGTCACTTGCGCCTTGGAGACACCTCATTCTTTGTATAAACATTGACTGTATCCAGAATGTTCGTTTTCTTATATATTTCTGTTGCAATAAACGGAATAAAATTGTCGCACACTCTTAAATATCGGAATAGCATGCCAACTTAGCACATTTCTTGCCTTTCGCAATAATTTTAACATATAGTAATAAACTACTTCTTCATCCATTGTTGTAGATTTACAAAGAAAGTTTCTGAGTATTCATTTCAATTTTTAAATTCAATTAACTCAGCTGAACATGCCATTCCGTTCCATAAAAATTTTTTCTACTCCATCTCATGTAGGAACGCAATGAAATTTTAGTAACAAAATATATTTTACTTTTATAATTCAGTATTTTTGGACATACAAATTAATGTTATAGGTAAGATAATTGCATAAATTATGCATATTGCTGCTTTAGTCGCATTAAAATTACAAAATATCGATTAAATCAAGCAAATTAACTTTGGTCGGCGCGAACGAGGCGACATTCCATTCCGTTTTCATTCCGTTCCGGAACGGAACTTCTACATGGAACGGGTAGAGAAACTTCTTATGGAACGGAATTGTAGTGACCTCAAATTTTCTAGTAAAAAATTCGTTCCGTCGTTCCGATTTCGTGTACATGAAACGGCACCCTAAGAGCGCGCAGAAAATATAGCTGGTAATCGACGACCGAGAACTCTCGGTGGAGGCGAAGAAAACTCCACTCCTGGCTACTGTCGACTATCATAAACAAGGCGAAGGTGCTTGCACCAGACGGTAGAGAATCGCTCGACGGTGACAGAGCACGCTCTATCCTCTTGCTATAATATAATAGTGCGGTATTAGGAAGCTGCGATGGCTGATCAACGGCCGAGAAAGCTCGGTGGGGAGTACGCTCTGGCCCCGGAAAGTATCTCGTCGGTGCAACGGCTAGATGCAAGAAAACCGGTCGTTATCGAGAACTCTTGATGATGACAGAACACTTTCCACCAGCTTGTCTCGCAACGGATACGGCCACTAGAGTTAGATCGGAACGGATCTAAATCATGACAAAAGTGGAGGATAATCACAAGCGCGAACAATTTTTCGACTTATGTACGAATTGTTGCTGCCGCTGGTATTGTTCCGGTCTTACTCGGCGATCTTCACCGATCCGCAATACGAGCGGGAACGATACGGATTGGCGGTACTTAGCGGAGTGTAACGATGGAGCGACTATCGCGTGAATTATGTGTGCGGTACACGGGCTGGCGTTGCAATCTGATAACGATATGCATATCATTATAAACTATTAGCATTTCTATCCGCCATTGAATCAGACAAGTTCTAAGTTCATTTAGAATCAGTGGTTCTATAAATCCTTTAATATTAGAATTCCTATAAGAGGATCACGTTAATCTCGTAAAAATTTTCGGTTTCGAAAATGGCAGAACCAATTATCAATGCCACCATATCCTCACTTTGAGATCGTAAATTCGGTGATCTACGTAAAGTTCCGTAGAGACTCTAGTTTTTCTAGAGATTCTAATATAGAGTCCAAAGTCTCTCTCTAATAGAGTCTTTCTTAGATGTCATTTTACTTCAGATTCTATTTGATATTACATTTCGTAAGAATTGGAAATTTTTTAGCATTTCCATTTGCCATATTGTTTCAGCCATTTCGAATTTTCAAATTTTAAATCCGAATTCGGAATCAGAAATTTTAAAAACCCTTTAATGTTACAATTCACAGAAATCGGAGAACTTTTAGCACCAAACATTTTTCATTTTTAAATTCTTTATTCGGATTTAGTTAAAAACCTTTTATATACATGTACTGATTATTGCGAAAAATATTACTAAGGCCTCGGTAAGTCTAAAGGCTTAGGATGCTCGTATAAAATCACAAGAGATCCGAAATTAAAATAATGTAGGACTCTCGAAATTAAAATAATGTAGGAAATTAGGCAAATGAGAGTTCGATGCGGTACTTATGCACAATTATTGATTATATGTATATATAAATTGTATTTCACTTGCTGCATACTAGAACGGTTCGACTAACTCTTGGAGTCATCCTCAGCGAGATCAACGCTCGCACGGAATGCAAGAGATCCAGGTTCGACTCCCGGCCGAGGCAATATTTTTCGCAATAAGTTTATTACAGTTTTTTAAGATTAATTTGGGAAATTTGGGGGGATTATTAATATTTCAGATCAATTGCGTTTAATGTCGACAACCATATCGGACGTAATTATCATTTTTGAAATTAATTCATTTGTTTGAAAATATATACATTAGTTCAACATCTCAATACTCAGACCGTAGTGCCGCTTCGGATTTTAAAATAATGTTATTTAACATAAACGGTCTTGTTTCCTATCTTATTGTTTATACACGCGCGCTGAAAAAATGCGTTACTCTCTATAAATATTGGTTATTGCGAAGAATTATTGCTAAGGTCTCGGTAGTCTAAAGGCTCAGGACGCTCGCACGGAATGCAAGAGATCCGGGTTCGACTCCCGGCCGAGGCAATATTTTTCGCAATAAGTTTATTACAGTTTTTTAAGATTAATTTGGTAAATTTGGGGGGATTATTAATATTTCAGATCAATTGCGTTTAATGCCAACAATCATATTAGCACGTAATTATCATTTCTGAAATTAATTCATTTGTTTGAAAATATATATATTAGTTCAACATCTCAATACTCAGACTGTAGTGGCGCTTCGGATTTTAAAATAATGTTATTTAACATAAACGGTCTTGTTTCCTATCTTATTGTTGATACACTACATTTTTCTTTAATTCAATTGAAAGCACGTCTTTGTGAACTTTAATAAATTTACTCATTTTGTTGAAACTATAAAAAGCTAATTTTACATTTAAATCTTTTGTTATAATTTTAAATTTTTCCGATATGTTCTGAACATATGGACTTGTAATTCAAGGAATGTTTTCCGTATCGTAGTATTTTTGTCATTAATTAATTTTAAAGTTTGTTTATAACAAAATGATTTTAATTGCGCATTTATATTATCAAAAATAAAATCTAATGAGTAGTCATTTTTGAGTAGTGTTTCAATGATAAAAATAATATTCTTGTTGTGAAATTTCAGATGTGACAAAAGGAAGATTCTATCAATCATTCCAATGATAACATCTCTTTTCTGTAAAAAATGATGTGATAAAATTTAAGTATTTCCCTGAAAAAGTTGGTTTATGAAACCAATCAAATTCGATTTCAAAGATATCGTCATTATTAATAATTGGAACGTCCAAAAAGTTTAAAATTTTTCCGCCAATCTCTGCTGTGAATTGAAATCTCGAATGAAATGAATTAAATATGTTAAGTATTTCAGTAGTCATATTAGAAGGAATAAAATTTATATATACATATAATCAATAATTGTGCATTAAGTACCGCACTGAACTCTCATTTGCCTAATTTCCTACATTATTTTAATTCGTGATATTATTACAATAGTTTAATTGCATTTATAAGTCCGGAAAAGCTATGTGCAGTTCGAATGACTATAAGTATGGTATATATGCTAGAACATATATAATACAATATATATATAGTAATTCAGATTAAATTATTTAAGCATTGAAGATCTAGCTTTGACCGTTATGGACATTACTTCTACTTCTTAATGTTGATATTTATGCAATGCAAAGAGATATAGCATAATAAAGTATATATTTAATACAGTAGAAGTTCAGGTATTATCAACAATTAAATATACTTTTGTGTTTACAGAATCCTGGCAGTTGATTATTAAACGCATCAACATACCACCTACTGTAAAACTTAATGATACCGATTACATTATCCTTGATTGTGACTACGACCTAGAAAATACATCTAGCACGGGTCTCGTCGTCAAATGGTTTTTTAATACCAATCAAGTGATCTACCAATGGATTTACGGCAGGTATCCTTTGGCGGACGAGCCTGCTGCAAAGTACATCGATCTAACGTATAAAGCCAGCAATGATCCATACACTGAATACCGAGCCATAAAATTGAATAAACCAGGTGTTGATCTTACCGGCGTATATACATGTGTTATATCTACCTATGCAGATGAACGAACAGCAAATGCATCAATGATAGTATATTGTAAGTATCAATGTATTTTTACATTTTTATATATAATCTTGAACACTAGTCTTTTATATTCCATTCTATTAAGTTTGCTTGTTTAGTTTTCCGGCCCACTGTATAAGTACAATACTATGTAAGCAAAGCTAAGCGAGTTTTAGATCACTATGCATTAGTACGTATACGTATATGCGGTATGCGTGCGTATGTGCTTGCGTGCGTACGTGGTCAAAGAGGGGGTAGTGCATCACAGATGCTGAGTCTGAAGGGCAAGGAGAAAAAAAACGCATCATCGGGATCCGTGATAAAAAGAGAAGGGAGTTTCGTGTTCCTTAACTCTCTCACTCATTACAATCTTTTTATACTTACCATCTTATTTGCACTCTCTCTCTCCAACTCTCTTTTCTTCTCGCTCGCAATTTTATTAAATACATACAGCATTTGTATTATAATCTTTTAAATGATATGACTTAGCAATATAATTTTAATTTAGCAACTAATAATAACATTTTTTTAAAACATATCCTACAAATAGCGTTTCTGTTATCCATTATTAAACTACTATTGTGTCGCTATTAAACACTTATTGAACTCGTACGAACATACGAACTTATCGTACTACTACTAAACAGCTATTATTATTGATCAATTCTTAATTACAGGGAAAGTGTGAATGAAATTAAAATCTATTAAAAAAGAGACTCATATCTTATGTTTTAAACTTAATACAATTCTTTTTGACGTTGAGACCACTAGTTATATATTTTAAATAAACTCTGTAATCTATAATGAATTTGATCATGTTTTTCACATCGCGCAGTACTAGTAATATCTAGATTATGTAAAGAATCTATATCTTCGTAATCAGAATTTAGGATCTCAATGATCAAGTCGTCGCTATCGAATATGTCAGCCAGCTATTCGCGTTTTTGGAATCCTTTAATCCTTATGAGAGCCTTATTGTCGACATTATTTTCCGCAATTACAGTTATTGAAATCAAACGTTTCATCATGTTGTACAGGATCATCTTCCTATCGCAATCGATGATGATAAGCACTTAGCCAGCAAGCACAATATTTTTCATATTTTGTCAAGAAATTCCATGATATAAAAATGTAATAAAAGAAAATGGTTCCTTTCCTTAACACTGTCACTTCCTTCATGATAAACTTTTTTTCAATGGCAAATCCTTGCAAACCCATAAACATTAGTACGGCGAATGATTTTTTGAGACTGTGCTCGATCGCAAAAAATCTTAAATTTATCTTTTATACTGAAAAGAAAGGAGAGAACTTTTGATAACATAATTCACGTAATCTTGCACACGTTGGATAATGGACTATATTCATAGTGATGTATTCACGCGGTCGTGATTAGATAATAGATGATAGTATTTGCGAGTACATTCTTTTTGAATTCAAATTCTAATCGGACACCTACTGCTGCTCTTAATGAACACATTTTGTCGCGAATAATCAATAATTGCAATAGTATAGCCAGGCAAAATGCCGTTTATCCTGAATAACGATTCACTTCTTTCGCGGGAGATTTGATAAGATATACGGAAACGTACAAACATATCATTTTAAACAGCAGCTTACGTTTGTCAAAGTCTCGATTCAGATAATCGTACGGATAAAATTTATAATTTGGATAAAGTTTATATTGGTTAATTTACAGTGGTCGAAGAAAGTTTCACATGTTTTCATGATAATTTTTTAATCAGTTTGCGGAGCAAAGATAACATATTTTTAGCTGAGCCGTAGTCTTGATAGTCCAGGAGTGTTTCGTCGTGCTTGGCAATAGTGGATATTAATACAAATCATATGAACCTTATACTTAGATCGTCCGCCTTCTAAGGTACGCAACATAGATAGTTTATTGATTTTGTTCAACTTAACGTGAAGCATTCGCCACTGTATTTCGAATAATTTAAGCGTCGACTCTGTCGCCAAATCTCTCACAAAGCATTATTGTTGTTGAGTGCTTGTAAATTGAGTGCTTAAAATCAATTCGTGACAAGCTTAAATACCACATATTTCTCGCAAAAGTCCAACAAAAAGCTGAGCGGCACGCGAAAACTAAAGTCACCTGTCATTACACTTTTTGCGATATCATCATTCTCGATCAATCCAGCATTCTCCATACGAAATGTGAAGTCAATTGAATATGTTGAATAACTTTTTTATAATAATGGTTATTCCAACATTTCCATTACGATAAATTTTTGCACCGTTGAATTCAAATCGAATTTCGTCAAACATGAACACCACACAATTATATTCAAGCGTTCGGTGTCTCTGTTTATATTCTTCTTCTGACATCAATCTTCTTTCGACGTAAAGAACGCTTTTAAACAGTAGCGTGTACACATCCTGCTGTTGTATGGGTATCCGGATCAGGGCGTGCGTCTGGGTACGAGACGCAAATGAGTGGGCCTCCCTGTGGTTCCCCGTGGACGCGAAGCGCCTCGAAAACTCAGGACTCGAGACGCGTCACGGCGAAATTGCTCATTTCTGCAGAAAAGCCCTGCAGGCGTTGTTGGGTTCTTCCATCGCCCTTCTTGGGGCGGCTTTGCCAGATGGTGGATGGTAGTTGCATATATATCTTTGTGGATGAGGTGGCATGTTCGCTCCGACTTCGGGACGGGGCCGACTAACAATAACTGTTGTATGGATCCGTATCTTATCTATCTCATCACTATTTCCAAATATTGTGTTTACATACGAACTGTATGTGTGAAACTCAAATTTGACGATGCGATCGTCAAAGATCGGCTCGCCTCCAATATTCAAAATATTAGTTATTTCAAAAGTTATTTCAAAATTCGCACCGCGAATCTCAAAGATATAAAAAATTTCAACACGCTGAGCTTCTTCTTCCTGATACAACCGGAGGAGCGAGTATTATCGAGCGTTATTGACTTTATAAAAAATAATCTCTCTGCTTCATTTAATATGAGTATCGCGCTTTCGTCATCACTATCGCTATGTCGCCATTGTACATGCAATCTGACAGTGATCTCTTCTTCTCAAAAATCGAGCAATTGTTTGTTTAATACATATTGTTAGATTTGTAATGCTCTGCGTGATGACTAGTAGGTAAATGATCAGTTATGCTGGCCTTTCCCGCTATCTGCGCAGCATCTAATATCATCACGCTTGGCGAAAATTCGAATATCATGTGCACACTTTTGCCATTGCTGTACGTGCCCGCGATCACGTTACACTCTACGCGGATAACGTTTACGTTCATTATGTTGATCGATACGTCCAATTTGTGCCATTTTCGTGACATCAGTACGCGATTTGACGAGAATCCTAGCAGCAAGTCAATATCATTAGGCTTGCCAAAGTTTATTCTGTAGACGCATCTAATCTCACACTTCATTGTGTTGTAGTTTACGCAGAGCATTATCGGATATTCTCTGTTCTCGTCGTTGTCGGCGTTGTCACTGGCATCGAACGCGTTGCGTCATTTCCGTAAAATAGTACGTTTCAAAAATTTATTTATGATCTGCAATTTCTACAATCTCTCGGAAATTGTAATTTCTATATCGTCTTTGTCGAAATATTTGTTGTTCGAATCGTTCACGTTCTGTATCGTGCAATCAGTCTCAAAAGTCGTCAGAGCTCGTAATCATCGTCACTCAAATCTGTGGCAGGAAAATAATTTACCGCTGTTCTTTCCATTCAGCGTAAGCGTCAACATGATGGAAAAAGCGTTCGACGAATATTGAGATTTCGCGGCCCTTATCGGGCTTTTTAAATTCACGCTATTTTTATACCTATCTTGGTCTTAACTTTCATTGCTGCCCAGGTGACAGCGGCGGCTCTCTCGCTCAGAGAATCTCTGGCAATGACACATCCTAGCGCTTTATCGACGAGTACTTTGTCCGCTGCGTGTCCATCGGTGAAATCATTACTTCGAGATTACGTAATGTCGTGTTCGCTGCGTCCATTAGATTTATGTCCGAGTCACCTCTGGTTAATTGTTTTTTCAGCCGAGTACTCGGACCGTAAAATCCGAAATATATAACTCAAAAGAAAGCGCGTTTATCATTTGATTCAGCAGACCGCCGCGATACTGACATTTATCTTTAGTGTGCGTCCGTTGCCACGGCTGATTGTAATGCTCATCGCAGCGACGACAGATTTGAACCTCCGAATCCGCCTTTATGCATTGCGGAAGCTTATCCTACATCGGTATATGCTGCACTGTTCGGCACTCAGATCCCAAATATCGAAAACACCGCGAGGTACGTTTTACTACTATGCGATTTACGAGTTCGTGCCCCAGGTAAGATTTGCTGACTCTTGTCCGATGTTGAACACTGGGCCGATGTTGGCGATATCATGGCAAATTATCATTATAATCGAACACGACGGCCAGGTTATGTTAGTCTTTTACTCCATGACGACTCTCGATCACTGTCGGACCAATGTTGGCAATATGTTGACAACTGATTATTATGCCAATTATGGCGAGACGTCAGGTCAGGCTAGATCAACCAACTCTTATCTAAAGACAAATTTAGGCCACGTTGAGCCAACGTTGGCAACCGATTGTCCCGTCAATTAGGGCGCGATGTCGGCCCAAGCGATATTTATTTAATGTCGATTCTCGGCTCAAAGTTGACAATATGGCAATCGATTGGCAATCGATTGTCCCTTCAATTATGGCGCGATGTCGGCACATACAATATTAGATGATTCTTACTCGATGACGACTATTGGGCCAATGTTGGCATTATGTCGGCAACCGATTGTCACGCCAATCACGGCGCGACTTCGACCCAGACTACATTAGCCGATTCTTGTCTGAAGATAACTTTAAGCCACTGTTGAAGCACCGTTGGGCCAACGTTGGTATTATGTTGGTAACCGATTGTTTCTCCAATCACAGCGCGACGTCGTCGCATGTAATGTTAGACGATTCTTACTAGATGATGACTCTCGGGCCAATGTGCGCATTATGTCAGCAATCGATTATCGCGCCAACCACGGCGCGACATCGA